GTCGCGCGGGGGGGGACCCCGCCCCGCCGGGTGCCCCAAGAGCCGCTCGGCCCCGCGCCGCAGCCGGCTGCCCCGCAGTTCCTCCCTGCGTCTGCCTGGCCGCCCCTTCGTCGCTCCCGGCGGGCGCTGGGGAGGAGCGGCGCAGCCAGCTTGAGGCGCTGACCCGCGGTGGTTGACGTGCGGGGTGTCTTTAGGAGGCAAGCACAAGTACTCCAGGGTGGTGAGAGGACTCTGGCTGGGAGAGGCGGGCTGATGCTGTGCAGCCAGGGGGGATGAGGGTCATGGGCCCCTCTGTGCAGGGGGGTCCCAGGGCTTTGCCCGCCCACGGGAATTAGGTGTTGGTGGGTGGGTGGGAGGCAGCTTTGGGATACCCCAGAAGTGCCCCCCATCCCCTGGGAACGCTCCCCATTCCCCTGCAGCGAAACCGGCCCGCTGGAGAGAGCGTTTCACCCCTACGTGCCATTTCTGGATCCTCTCCAGTTTCCGTGGGAGAAGCCGGTTTTGCTGGAGGAGGTGGGAGGTGCGGGATGGGCAGTGGGGAGGAGCGGGTGGCACCGTGCCCAGCCGGAGGGGAAGGGCCCTGCTGAAGGGACACCGAGGGCACAACGGGTGACAGACACCAGCCCCGGCCCCGCTGCCTTCCTGTAGAGCTGGAGACAACGGCGGCTGCCTCGTGCTTCGCACCACTGCAGCCCGGGCACGTTGCCCCAACACCACGGGGACGGGCAGCACGGCCGCAGCCAGAGGCGCCGGGCAGGGCAATGCCACTGCACCGGGACACGAGTGTGGCGCAAGGGCAGGGAGGTGGCGGGCAGCGCGGCCTCATCCCCCTGCTCAGCATGGAGGTCGCCAGTCCCCCGGCCCCGGGCTTTGGGGGTGTCTCCGCTTGTGCCGGGGGTGAGCAAAGAGGGAACGGCCCAGCATGCCTTCCCCAGTCCCAAATAACAGGGGCTGCTTTGTTTTCCCGTCTGTGCAATAGGCACCAGTTCCTCCCTCGCACCCCGCACGGGACACACGGGATCCCAGGGATGGAGCATCATCTGCGGGGTAATCGGCAGCGCCGGGGGCTCTGCCTCTGGCGCGCGCGGGGCAGGTGCCGCTGGGCTGGGCGGGCTGGCAGATGGCCTGAAGGACTCTCCGGGGATCTCGAGCCATTACCAATAATCCAGCGTCTTTCTTCAAACGTGACGTGGAAGCGCCTCGCCGGTGCTGCGGGAGGAGGGAGGGCTGTGCCCGTGCCAAGACCGCACACGCCAGCCCCAGCCTCCCCATAAAATGAACTCGAGGTGCGTGGCTGGATGCGCTCCCGTGCATGTTAATGCTTTCCATCACTTATGTTAGCAGCAGCCGTGCCGGGGACAGGGACACGCGGCCGGGGGCCTGGACCGTCCCTCCTGCTGGCGGGGGACCCAGCCCTTGCAGCCGCCGTGCTCGGTGCGGTACGAGGCTGCAGCAGGGACGGCTGCCCCCCGCCCGTGCTCAGGGAAGGGGGTCGGTGCCTGCCTGGCCGCCAGCCCTGCGGATGAAGCAAGGAATGCACTCGGGATTGCTGGTCCCCAGGAGCCACCGCTGCCGCGCTCTGGGCAGCTCCGCAGCCACCAGGACGGTCTCCTGTCCCCGGAGAGGAGGATCCTCGCCTCCTTTTACCCATCCGCTCCGGAGAGCGGACGGGGCAGCCGTGGGAGCCCCCAGGCTCAGGCGCAGGCCTGCAGCGGGCACGGCTCAATGCCGGGCGCTTGCCCCTGTTGACACCCCTCTCCTCTCCCACCTGCTCCCCCAGCTGCACAGCACCGCAAACCCGCTGGGGCTGAGCGCTGCAGACAAAAGATTGTTTATCAGGGCCTGCCACAGCCTCTCCCGGCGCTGGCTCGCTTTAATTAGCCCCATCAAAGCCGGCTGCGTCTCTCCCTCCTGAAAGGTTGCAGAACATGATTAATTCAGGCGCAGCACGCAGCCCCCTCCCGCGGAGAGGGGCCCCTCTGATAAGGCCAAAGCCCTTTCCTCTCCCTGTGCACCCCATGTCGCAGCCCCATACGGCGAGGTCGGGGGCTCCTTTCTCCTGGGGCGAAGCTGTGGACGGGCTCAGGCTGCCCCAGGAGCCGGAGGGGACAAGCAGGAGCAGGGGTCTCACCGAGCCCGGGGCCTTGCTCTCCAGCCCACCCCTGCTGCGAGCCCAGCCGCCGACTGCTTTGCTCACGGGCATCGCCCATCCGTGGATCTGCAGCGGGACCGTCCACCAAAAGCCCCGGGGACGTGCCGTGGGGATGGCACATCTCCACCGGGGCCGGGCTCGAAACCAGCGCTTGCAAACACGGGGCTCCGCGCAGGAGCCCTGGGGAGACGCGGGGGCTGCTCCAGCTGCCCCCAGCGCTGAGCTTCTACGGCCGGGCCTCCCCGCTCACACCGGCGCGCAGCCCAGGTGGCGCACACCGTAACTCAGCTTCAGTAGCTGCGGTTGTAGGCAAAGGGGTTTTAAAAGGAAAAAGCCTTTGGGGGAAAGAGATAGACAGGAGGATCGCTTCCCCCTTTTTATTTATGCCAGCACGGCTGCATGCAGCGTACCGACGGCATTCAATACCCCGGAGAGCCAATTACCGCACGGCGCAGCCAGAGCCAAGCCTGGGCTGTTCTCCACTTAATTTTCTTAGTACAGTCACATCGTCTCGGAAAAGCGTTGCTGCTTGGGGGAAGGTACAAAGCGGGTTCCCAGCGTGGATCCTGCGGGGAGGGCAGAGCTCCGGGGTTTTCCTTCCCATGGCGGGGAGAAGGGGGCTGCGGCGGGGGGGCCACCGCCAGCAAGCACCAACACAACACTGCTGTCAGGCTTTTATTTCCATCTCGTGAACATCCTTCCAAGAAATCAAACCATGAGAAGCAAAACATGGTATGAACCCCTGACAGGACAGACGAGCTGCAGCCCCAGAATGAACTGACCTGGGGGGAGCTGCGGGGAAGGGAGGGGGTTTCCAGAAAGAGCTCCGGAGCCTGAGCCACGCAGATCTCGCCCATCCTCCCCGAGCTGCTTGGCAGAGCTCAGCCAGGCAGAGCCGCACGCAACGGGGCTGACAGTAGGGAAACATGTTCTATAAACCTCCTCTGCAAAGCAAATCTCACAGCCGAGCGAGCCCCCCGCGCGCACCCCCAGAAGGGCCCCAGCTCGGTGCCGGGCTCAGCTCCGCCGTGCCCGCAGAGCCAGCGCCGGGCCGGGCAGGGCGTGTGGGCACCGAGCACCCTCCCTCCTGCCCCAGCACCACACGGTGCCCGGCGAGCCGCCCTCGCCGCGGGGCTTCGTGTGCACCCGGGAATGAAAAACACCAGGGCTGCAGGGGAGAGAGGGCAAGGTGGGGCAGGAATCCAATCTCTCTCTCTCCTCGCGCGCAGTAAAGGCCTTGCTGGTGGTGCCCTTTAAAGCCAGCGGGCACGGCCACGTGGAAGCTGGTCTCAGCCGCTGCTGGGGGTCTGCCCGCGGAGACCCCCTGGGTCGGGCTTTCCAGCTCTTCGCGCTGATCAGCCCCTCGCACGGATAAAGAGCAAGAGAGAAACCATCTCTGCACGGGGAGCCCACGCCGGCTGTCACCTTCAGTGAGGCCACTGCAGCTCCCCAGCACCGGAGCGGCAAGAAGCCAGCTCCCTCCTCAGCACCGACTGCTTGCAGAACCCCGGCAGCAAAAGCGGTGCCACCCCGGAGAAGCAGAGGAGGAAACCCCACAGCACCCACGCCGTGCCGGGAGCACTGTGCCGTGCCCCACGCTGCCACCTTGCGCGGGGCAGGACCACTTCAGCTGGGTGCAAACGGCCGGGCACCCTCAGAGGAGCACGGAAGGAAAAGAACCTCCTGCCTCCTCTTCTGTTCTGCACACAGGGAAACCTTTATAGCTGGTCTGGCACACAGGAACGTGGCCCCGAACGGGGAGAAGAAAATTGGTGCTGAAAAGATCGAAGTCCACCAAACGGGGAGCAAAGAGGGGAAAGTGTTCCTGCTTCCCAGGGGACCGCTGTGGCCGCAGCCATGCGGCGACTCCTCACATGAACATGTCGTCATAGCCTGGAGGGGGAAGGTGGTCGGGATCTGGCCTGGAAAGAAATGCAGAGCAGAGTCAAACCAGGAGCGAGAGCTCAGTCCTGCAGCAGGAGGGATGAGCCAGGAGATCCAGGAGCAGCCCAGAGAGCAGGCTGGGGACACCGGGCACAGCCAAACACCTACCCAGACCTGCCAGCTCCCAGCGGGCCAAAGGGGTCGAATCTGGCGCCTGGCGGAACTGCTCCTGGGGGAAGCCGGCCTGGAATGCCTGACGATGGGTCAATGCCAGGCTGCGGGCGGCCAGACCGGAGAGGATCCACGATCATTCCCCCACTCCGACCTCTGGGGAGAGGAAAGGCAGAGAGAGATGAGATTGGCACCGGTGAGAGAGGAGCAAAGCACATCCCTGCGCTGCAGGAACGCCGAGCACGCGAACGTGGGGTTAACAACACACAGCACATGGGAAGGAAAGCACCGCTAACCCACCGCATCACGGGCCAGGGCAAGCCAGTGAGGCGAGCCCATGGCAGCAAGACAGCACTTGATGTGCATATGTGCGCGTGTGCAGGAGTGCTGGGGCACAGCAGACCCTCGTCCCATGGTGGCTGCTGCCTGCCACAGGAGGGAACGTGACTGCGTCACACCCTGCTCCTACCTGGGGTTATCACAGCCCTGCAACGCTGCCCGCACTACGCCGCAAGGTCAGGGGCAGGACGCGACTCACAGCTCATCGTCGTGCCGAGCTGGGAGTCTTACAGCTGCAGAGCGCGTGCCCAAGCCAGGGCACCAGCAAACACCCAGGTCCGGGGCACCACCGTGCCCCCAAACCCCCGGGGCCAGCTGCAGACATGCACAGGGAAGCAACAGCCCTCGCCTGCCTGCCTTCCTCAGAGCCGACGCCACAACAGACACCGGAGCAGCGGAGAGGCAGCTTCCCTCTTCCCTCGGTTCCTGCAAGGAGCCATTCAGGGCACCAGCGATGGCTGCTGCCCATCCCCTGGGGGAGTGTCAGACCCACTGGCCCTCGCTGCCAGCTCTTAGTCCCATCCCTGCCCTCAGCTCTCCCGGGCGAGCAGTGTGTCCTGCCCTGCGCGGTGTTGCAAGAGCTCCCGGACCAGGCCGGGGCCCCTGCCAGCCCTTCCAAAGAGCTGCCTGGAAGTCATTTGCTGACCACGGTGGCTCCTCGGGAGCTGCCCCACGCTGCGAGTGCCATTCCTCATGGTCGGCTTTGTGCAAACTCGGCTAGAGCCTCTGGACACCGCTGCCATCGTACGAGTCATTAACAACTGCGCTAATGAGTTCCATTACGCCAGGCCGGCTGCCCGAAGTGCCCCGGGACAGCCAGGCCCCACGAGCATATGCCTGGGAGTCCGGGTCTCCAGCCCCAGCGCTGGCAGGTGTCAGGGCACAAATCTGCTTCTATTTACAATCTTTTTTGTCATTTATAGAGAAACCTCTGATGAAAGGCTGGAGGCAGCAAGAGAAACAGGGTCTCCCCCACAACTGAACCCCCTCTCCTCGTGCTATCGGGTTTCCTTCCAGCCACCCAGCCTCCAGGCCTCTCCTTCCAGCCGGGCAGGACGTTTTTAGTTGGCCGTTTTCTAGCCAAACCCAAGGAGAACCAAGTCTTGCAAGAGGGGAAAAAATGCAATCCCCACAGGAGAGTGGTTCCAAAGAGGACTCCCCTGGGCCGCAGGATGCTCTGCAACAACTTGAAGAGCTGGTTTTTGTCTGACTATGTGCTTTTAACTGGAATGGAAGATTACAGGTTCTCCTTGCCCGACCAAACCAAAGGCAGAGAGACGTATCTGTGAAGATCAGTCCCCCCGACAGCCCTCCTTCTATCCGGGCTTTCTCTCGAGTGCCTCAGACAGCTGGGAGGCTCACAACCAGGACTTGAGAATCTGTGGACTCGGCTTTAAGCCTCCCCTTCTCCAGACTGCTGGGCTGTAGACGCAGCAGCTGGTAACATTTTAAATTAGAGGCTTACATTCACTTAACAACGTATTCAGCTTTGATTTACTGAAGGAATTACTGCATGTTAAATGAATACAAGCTGATTATTAAACAGACACAGATTGCAACCTATCATCTATGCAAGAGACGGGATCTTATTACGATATTAGAACCATATTGAGGTTTAGTAACTGTCACTTGGTCCCCTGCAATTTGCACTCAGCAACTGTCTCATCGCCATCCACACTTAGAGACACTTTGCTGGACGCCTGAGCCAGGCGGGCCCCAGCTGTTCCAGAGACGGTCCCCAGCCACCCCCACACATCCCAAGGGCGGAGCAGGGGACGCTCCCCAGGCACGCAAAGCCCCACCTCTCCCAGCCACACTCACCCAAAAGGGTCCAGGTCTTCCCCACCAACAGCGAAGGGGCTCAAGGGGGAAGGCCTGAAACACAGAACACAGCAAAACGTTCAGTGAAGGGGAGACTGGCTGCGCAGAGCGAGCAAGCGGGAGGGCAGCGCAGCCAGCGTGGTTGCCGGTGCTGTGCTCATGGGTGCTCTCCCACAGCAAGCACTGCAGCACCCAAAGGGCCCTGGGACCTGCAGGACCCTGCGTGAGTGGGCTGGCGTTGGGAGCCACCCCGTGCCCAGGACGCGGCATCCCCTGCTCCAGGGTGCAGCCGGGTGGGGACACCGGTGCGCACAGCAGGCTTGCGGGAAGCTTGCTGAGATGAAGGGGGCCCTGCTGTTCCCACTGCTCCGGGCCGGAGCTGTCTGTGGACACTGGGAGTTTCCACGCCGGGGGCTCCCCAAGAGATGCTGGGCTAGGCCAGGCTCTCCAGTGTGTCCCAGTCAGAGACACAATGACAGTCCCGCTTCCAGGAGTGCGAGGACAGCAGGGTGGTGAGCCTGCAGCCAGCTGTCACATCTCCTTGCCAATAATATGTGCCAATAACATGGTTTCAGAGCCGTGCCCAGCTCCAGCCTGTCTGCCCGCACCTCCCCGAGGAACATCTCGCACCCTGAGCAGTCCTGAGCACCAGCGGACAGCACTGGGGTTAAAGAAGCAAGAGGTGACACACAAGGCAGAAGCCACGGCCGGTCCCCAAGAGACGGCAGAGCCACTGCAGTGTCTCTGGCTTCCAGCCAAAGGCGATTACAGCTTGTGGGGGGAGAGAGTGGGGAGCCCGCCTGCCACGCACGAGGGATGGCTGGGCATGAAGGAGCCAGGGAGGGATGCTGAAGCGGGTGCCGTGTGTCTCCTCTCCCCAGCTTTGCCAGCAAAGGGTTTCAAAGCGGGGTCAGGAGAGCAAGGAGAAGAGGGCTCTGTTCCCCTCCACCAAGCCCGCCCCTCCTGGGCCTGGCCCCAAGCCCCGGCTGGGTGCACTCTCCTGGGAGGGCAGCTCTACCGGCCACAGCAGGCAAGAGGCTTAGAGGCAGCCCCAGCTCTGTGCCGAGCGAAGGCAGAGCTCTGCACCCGCCACACGCCCTCTCCCCCTGCCATGAGCACAGACCCCACGGCTCTGCTGCAGCCCACGGCTCGATCTGACACCCAGCGCCCTGGTGTCCCTCCTGGAGGCTGCCTGTCCTTCCCACTGCTGTCCCTGCTCTGCCAGCCTGATGGTCCCTCAGCCAGCACAGAGCAGGGTCTCCCTCCTTCCACCCCTCACCTTCCCCCCAGCCCTGCACGCTGCCCTCTCCCTCCTGGGTCTGTAGGTCTCCAGCTGCACCCCCAGGCAACGCCAAAGGAGGGTCAAACCAACACACAGCTTCAGAACAGGCCATCCCTCAGCGGGCAGCTTAAATCCAACCCAAGCACGTGGCCAATGAGGCTGAGACTGGCTGGGGAGGGTTGGGATCCCCTTTCTCCCCACCCCACGTGTGCGAGATGGGGACCAGAGGTGAAGTTCGGAGAGCTCTGTCAGGACCACGTCCCATCTAACGGAGGACTGTCAGCAGCCACCCGCTCTTTACTCACCAGGACGGTGCCCTCGTGCCTGCCGGCTGCCGGGGAGGGACCCTGAGGGGGTCATAATCCTGGGGCAAGTCAGGATCCTTCTTCTCAGCCTCGGGCTCCTTTTTGGCCTTTTCTGCAGGGGCCCCAAGGGGAGCGATGATGCCCGAAGCAATCCTTGTCCTCAGCTCCTCGGTGTTCTTGTACACCCTGCAGGGAGGAGAGGCGAGGTGGTGGGCTGGGGAGGCCACAGCACCCTGGTGCTGGACAGGCTGCGAGGGGTGGTGAGGGGACAGGCATGCCCAAAGCATCCCTGGCACAAAATGTGTCCCCAGCTGGCAGCACGGAGGGGACAGGACGGGGTAACAGCACACAGTGGCACCAAAGCCCTGACCCTATTTGAGAGGGCAGAGGTCCCACCCAGCCCAGGGGACTCCCCTGTGCTGTGGCCATGACCTGACCAGTTCTGCACTGGAGGAAACCACAGCACATAGCACCGGCCTTTAGCAAGGCCACAGGGTGCCTGGGCCACGGCTGAAGGTGTAGCACCACTGGGCAGTGCCCACCCAGCACAGACAGGCAAGCAGTGCTCCAGAAATAGAAGTGCTAGGCTGGCCCAGCCCGTTCCCAGGTGGGATGGCTCCCCCCTGGGCTCCAACCCAGGGTCCCACCATCCCCTAAACCCCTCCTGCGGGCCAGCAGTGCAGAGGGAGGCAGAGGAGGGAGCTCTGGCTGTGTTTCAGGGCTGGCTGGACTGCCCCCAGGGTTTGTACTGGGGAGAAGAGTCCTCCAGGCTCCTCCTAACCTGGTCTCTGCCCCCTCCCCATGCCGGTGGGACATTTCCTCCTGCAGAAAATGCAGGGGAACCGAGATTACTTGTGGAAATCGTCCAGGTGCTCTGGGTTGATGTAGTCGGCCACTGCCAAGGTCACATCTGCCACCTTCTGAGAACTGCGATCCTGGCAAAAGACAGGTGAAACATGGAGTCAGCAGCCCGGCAGAGCTGGGAACGAGGGAAGGAGCAGGTACAACCACAGCTGGGGGCTTGGGACACAAGGAATGGGCTTGCCTGCTTTCTGCCACGTCCCTGTGCTGTGCCTGAATCCCCAGGAGCAAACAAACTCCACTGTGCAGCGAGGCTCTGCCTGCTCGCTCTCCCAATCAGGGCTGCAAAGGGTGAAAGCAAAACCACCCCGGGCAGGTGCTTGTAGGGGACAGGAGAAAAGATCCACAGAAAAATCCTGAGCTGGGAAGGGGACACAAAAGGGGCAACGCCTGGGCCAGAGCGTGCAAGGCAAACCGCATCGCTGCCCCGATGCAGCTGGTGTTTGACCAGCTTCACACTGGGCCACATCTGCTGCTGCACAGGCAGGTCTGCAGCCCCTAACATCCCCTGGGTCTGCCCCATCCTGAGGGACAAACATTGCTACAAGGTAGAAAAATAACAGCAAAAATTTAAGAAATGTGCCCTGCTGTTCCTTGCACATTTTGGGTGGCACCTGAAGGACCCCAAACTCGCAGGGACCAGCCTGGGTGCTCACCATAACATTGAGGATCATACTGTCTTCCACCATGATGGCCTTCAGCAGCAGCTCATGGGCATCATCTGTGGACTTGTAGCGCAGTGTATACACCTCCTTGTTGGCTTCCCAGCCGGCGGGAAGCAGCTCCGACTTCCTTTCATCAGGACCCGGCTGCAACAGGACAGACATGGGGCTGAGACCCTGCCCACGAGCCCAGCACGCTGGGGGGACCTGTCTTGGCTGCACAGAGAGATCCAGGAGAGGATATAGGTCTCTGGGAGTGGATCTAGGTCTCCAGGAGGGGAACTCTCAATGCCTTCCAGGTTTTGACTACAGGAGCAGAGTTTTATTTCCTACGGGCTGGCCCTGCCTGCTTGCCGGCCTCCCACAGGATCCCCGTGCTGGAACAAAAGGGACACAACCACCCTTTGCTGAGCACGAGGAGGCCACAAAGACCTAGACTGGGGGATGATGGTCTTCCCTGCCTGGCACCTCTCAGCTCCCCAGCAGGGGACAGAGCTGTCTGGGGTGGGGGGGAAGGCTGTCGTCCTGTTTGTCCCAGCCCCGCAGTGGTGCTGCCAGGTGGCACTGTCCCACACTGTCCCCTCCTCTGGCACTGGAGGGTGGGGGGGTTCTGCCAAGACGGTGCCCTGCACCCCCACCATTGCCCCCCAGCACCGCACCAGGCTCCTGACCCACCAGACCCCCCGCCCTTAGCACTGGGTCCAGCACCACATTGTCCTCCTCCCTGCTATCGCACCAGGGCCCCCAGCACTGGGACCCCCCCGGCACTACACTTCCCTCCCCAACGCTGCACTAGACACCCACCTTTTGGTGGGGGATTCCCGCCCCCCCAAGCACCAAGATCCCCCCAGCACCACAGTGGTCCCCTTCCTGGTTATGGCACTGACTCCTCCAGCACTGGGACCCCCCAGCACC